GAACCAACCAAACTACTACACGTCGACGAGACGTACGTAGTACGTACGTTACTTACTACGTACGACGACGAGTACGTAGTACGTACGTACGTCGTCGTCGTCCTCCTCCTCCTCTCTCTCTCTCTCTCTCTCTCTCTCTCTTTCTCTCTCTCTCTCTCTCTCTGCATGTTTTGAAAGTGAGACTTGAAAGGAAACATTCTCTCACTGTTATTATTCTTTTTGTTGCTTTATTTTTATATGGTGCCAAGTGGGTTGTGCCTCTTTCTTTCTGTCACTATATGCAGATAATAAGAACCATCCACAGGCAAAAAATATCATTTTTTCCCTTTTTTGTATTCTAGGCTGGGACTGTTCTTTGGCCCATAAACTGGCTTTTTTCTCCAAGAAAATTTGTGTCATGCCTTTTCCCAAGCATATCACACCTAGGTGTCTGTTTGTTCAGAGAGTTTAGGGTGAATCATGTTGTTGATTACAGGGAACAACTAAGGACATTTTTGTATTTGGTTGAGACCTCTTGGAAGGTCAGATTACTGAAATGCCTTTGATTATTCTGCATTCCCAATTCAGAACAAGGGAAATTTAGGATTTTTTATTTTTTATTTTTATTTTAGAAAGTAGTTGAGTAAATTGGGAAAGAAAATGTAACACCTCAAATGTTATTTTAGAAAGTAGTTGAGTAAATTGGGAAAGAAAATGTACCCCCTCAAATGTTAATAGGGATATTTTTACAAATTTATTTATTTTTGTTTAGTTATGCTCACTTCATTATGATTGGCTTATGAGCTGTCACTATTTATAGGTTTTTAGTATTGCCCAAGTGTTTACTTTCAGAGACCTTCATCACATTTGACCCCTGTTTTGGGCTAGTTAGTTGTTTCCCTGAGACTAACCTACGGCTAGAGTTTCTTGGCGATTAGAATTGGAATTTGTAGACTACAATGATTTTCCTCATCTTGAAATCCAAAATCTGTTCCTTATGTTGTTTCTACATGGTTTCCTTCTTGCCATTCCTACCTGGAAGATCATAGCTGCATCATTTTAAAGTGATTTCTGCAAAATAGAAAGAAATGGTGGTTGTAGGCATTCTCTGTCCAACATTAGACTATATTCTCTTCTTAAAAATATATTCATGGCTCTTTCTGATGTCTTTCATGTCTCTAGTCTTTCTTTAAACCTTCTTTGCCTAGGAGAATTAGGTTAATAATTTTTGTACTGTCACTTTAGAACTTGATATGTTATGTAGTTTGGATGACTGAAAGTGATGATTTAGAGAGTCCAAAAACACTGATTGGTTTTTTTGTACAGACTAATGCCGTAATTTTCTTGCTAATACCTTTTTAATTACTCATGTATGCCATGTCCCTTTTAGTGATGGCACTATCATCTTGATCATGTCTATACTTTTTTATCTACAGAGCCTAGCACATCAGTTTACTTCCATTAGTTTCTGTTATCAAGGGACCAACAAATTTGTTCTCTCTCCTTTGCAACATGGACTGGATAAACAAAAGGAAATAGTTTAAATATGGTTGCAGCCTTGTACTATTTAAGTAAGGTACACCCCAAATGTCCTCTAGAAAGAGGGTGTTCTGACATTGGAGAACTTTCCAATTGTTCATCTTGACCTCGATATGTGTGGTATGAAGAAAAAAATAATTTCAAGTCCTAAAAATATTGCATCTTGCAACAAGTTATCTGAGCCATCTATTTTCAAGATATTTCAAGTTTTTATAGATCTTCTCTATCAGTACCATTTTTGAAATTCTGAATTTCATAACTAGGAATAAAACTAGATTTTCAAGCCATCATAAGGTTTCTGACACCAAGCAAATTTTGGAGGTTCCCTTACTTCTACTGTATAAGGAGGGCTGCTTTTACAAACCTCACCCTAAATAAAAACATAATATCATTAAAACATCTACCTGTTCTGCTCTTTTTCATCACTATATCATGATATAATTCACTCCATGAAATTCGTCCCATGCATGGTAAATGCGAATTTGGAGTGAAATGCAAAGAAAATTTGTGGCAAGGAAAAGGCAAGACCTTGCATATTCCACTGAACGTAAGTGGGACGAAGACCTAAAAAAATGGGAGGTTTGGTTGTCAGGAAGATTACTTTGACAAATTTGTTATTGTTGCAAATTTTTTGGTGGTATGGGAGGAAAGTCTTTTCTCTTTGGAAGAGGGTCATCATCTACAAATCCGGAAGTGCAAATGAGGGACGGAAAATTCTGAACGAAGTAGATACTCGAGGATCTCAAAGTTGTGGCACAACTTTTTTCGGAGGCTGGAGGTTGGGGGTATTCGGATCAGTGTAGCATGGGTGACCATACCATTTTCTGGAATGAATTATGGTGTGGAGATCTAACCTTTAGGGAGAGATTCCAGGGACTCCTTACGAGTTGCCTCTGCACAAGAATTGCAGAGATGATCATTTAGTCCCCAATATGATGTTAATATATTCGTATGATGACCTAACCCCAAAGGCAACTTTCAGTCTGTTTTTGCCAGTACCTTCCTCTCTGATACCTTGAGACTGGCACAAAGTCAGCTTCTCTGGGATATCCCAGCATTCGTATGTGTACCATGTGGTGGTTGGTTGGTGGTGTACCATGTCTTGGTTGGTTGAGTGCTCCACTTCTTGGAGCTCTTTGGTGTTTTAATTGGGTTTCTCTAAATCTGTTGCAGAGGTTTTTTTAAGTTGGAGATCATGTCTCGTTGGAGAACATCGCCTTTTCTCAAAAAAGGAAATTTATATGGTTACTTTTCACTGTAGCCATATTATGGGGCATTTGGATTGAAAGAAATAACATGATTTTTTGTAGGTTAATATTCACAAGCCAAGACAGTTGCCAATAGAGTGAGGATTGAGAATGTGCCTCAGTCCACATAGAGGTCAAGGGTATTCGTGCTCAAGATTTGAATCAAGGCTGGCAGGTTGTTGCACACAATTGGGTGCCTATTAGCAAGGCCTAGGCACCTTGGGTGTTGGGGAAGTCATCAGGGATCATCTTAACATTATCCGAGTTAACTTTGTGAGCTATGGTGATGCTTTTTATGCTTCTAAGGTACCGCCTACCTTATTGGGCTTAAGATTTTCGCTCAATCTTTCTCATGCCTCAGCAGTTGAAGGTGATTCACTAATGTGATTTGTTGGGCATAATGGAAAGGCATGGAAGCTTGCTGATGTATTTGTGGAGACTTTTGATCTGCTGGAGGGAAGGGTTGTCACTTTCCAACATGCCACCAGAATGTCAAAGAACGTAACCGACTCATTGGCTCGTGCCAGAAATGGAAGGGACCATTATTTGTCAGGCCGGAACCACCCTTCATCCTGCATCTTTATCCGCCTACCGTACATCCCTATCTCTCAACCTAGCTTCTTTCTCTTCGCCTACGGTGCACCTCTCAGTTTTGTATGATCTGGCTTGGAGCATCTTGATGTAATCGGTTTCACTACTTTCCAAAAAAAAAGAAAAATGCCGAGAGAGAGAGAGAGAGAACTGAGATTTCTAGGATGAAGTAGTTCTTACACTGATCTGGTTAATCGCATGCCACCACTTTCTTGACTGACATCTCCCCTATTGAGCACCTCAAAGCTACTCAACACAATTCTTAACCTCTCTTCATGCGTTTCTTTAACGATGCTGATCTCTAGAAGGGTCATTGGTCTTATAAGCCTCAAATCTTTATGTTTGTGAGTTTCTGTACATTTTAGATTTCTTCTTCAAGCCCTTTCAATTCTGAGTTCACAATTGTTCTTTCTTTCAGATTTATGTCATTTGACCACTTGTATGGCTCTTCTGCCATTAATTGTTCTGAGTGAAAGAATTTAACAGAATTCTGGTGCATACCATTGCCAAATACCTAGTGCTTGTTGTCAATCAACTAATAGCACCACAAGGTTTTATGTCATCTTGTCCTTAACTTATTCATTTCCTTGATTGTGAATAACACTCCTCCTGTCATCAAGACCTTTTTATTGTCATTTACTCCATCCATGACTCCATGTATGAGTCTGAGTCTTACAGGAACACTATTGGTATTCCATGTTGAGTAAGAAACAATGTTGAAAAAGACTCCCTAGCCTTCCAAAAACTGAACTTGGGGTTTGAGCCCTCTTCCTTTTGGGAACACTGTTGGTTGCGGTGGTCTTTATACAGTTGAAGCCCATTCTATTGAACCAATGGAGCATTGTAACTAAAAGACTTATCTGGAAGTATGATGAGTGTGTGGAGCATGTAGCTTTTGTTGGTAGGATGACCAACATTGCCAATGTTGCACCCTTATTTCTATTTATCATTGTTTGGTCCACTTTCCAGTCATACATCCAAAACACTTTTCATTTTTTTTTTTATTGGCAAATCAGAGACACTTTCTATCTTGGAGATCTTTGAGGTGCACGTGAAGCATTCCACTGGCCTTCTTTTCTTATTTTCTATTTCTTTTGTTGGTGTAGGATGATATTATTATGGTCTAAAGCAAGCTCCTTAGACCTAGTTTGTTAAGTTCTGTGCCAGGGTTTGTTTGAAGGATCCTGATTCGGCCTTCTTGGTTCCATCCAGACTTGGGATCAATGTTTTAGATGATATTATTAGCAGAGATGATTCATTCACCTTTACTTGTATTAAGCACCATCTTTGTCAGTTGTTTGGAACAGAGAGATTTAGGAGCAGTTTCTTGGACTGGAGGTTCTTGATTCATCCAAGGGATGTCTGCTTTCACAGCTAAAATACAGCTAGTGTTTGATATCTCAAAGCGTGTATAACGATTGAGAATACTATTCAAATTTCTTGGCATTTAAACATTTAACTCTTACAGACTAATGCTATACCTATTGCCACTCTGACTTACAACTGGCAATTTATTCTTGCTTTCATGTCTAAATATTTTCTGCTATAATTATGATGCAAGTCAGTTCATGGCTGCTTTACGGTTCAAGTTGAGGTGATTTATCAAATAATGAGATTTTATTGTGGTACCTCCATGAATGCATGCTTCTTCTAATCCTCCTCTCTCGAGTTGTGGGCCTGTCCTAGCGTTGATTGGGTAGGTGATACCATTGACTGGTTTTCCATTGCAGTCATTTCCGTGTTTTTTTACGGAGATTTTCTCATCTCTTGATTAAGCAAAAGTAGGAGATGGTTTTCTGAGTTAGAGGCAGAATTCTTTGCCATAACTATTACTTTTCGTGAGATTAGCTTGCACTATTGGCTACTATGTGAACTAAGTGTTTATGTGCAAACCTTGTAGCCGTCACTTTTGTTATGATTGGAGTGCTATCTGGATTGCATCAAACCCAGACATAATGAGGAGACCAAGTACATTGAGGTTGATTATCACGATGTTCATCAAAGGCTTTCACTCACGTGTTATCTTTATATGCTTTCTATGCTGCTTACTAACTTCTTCATAAGGATTCATTCCATTGCTCATCACTTGTTTTTACTTATGAATCTTGATGGAGAGGCAATGATGTTATAAAATTTCATCGTATTTGTATACTGTTGGATAGGTTCTTCTTTCGTTAATGGTATTTTAGTCCTTTGCCCTGTTCCCTATTGTGTGTATCTTTTCTTTTGGGTCAGCAAAAGTCCTAACAATCCCCTCTTTTCAGCTCCTAACAATCCCCTCTTTTCAGCTCAGGTACTTTACTGCAGTCAAAACTTTGTTACCGAGGTCAAAGCTTAATGTCTGGCCTTTTGCTCGCTTGGGTTTGGGCCATTAAAACATCTTATTCTTCTTTTTTATTTATTTATTTAAAATTTTGGCCCATATATGGGATGAAATTTCATGGGAATTTGGTCAGATGGTGGCTTGAAAGTAATTCATTCAGCCATAAGGTTCTCTTAAGCATGGCTGCTGTAGAAGCTAGAGACCCTGAAGGCAAAGAGTTGAGAATCCAATCTATTACCTATCAATCAGGTGATTTGATTTTAGGAATTTGGCTAAAGCATGAGTATCTTTTATATTCTTTGCTCCTTTTTCTTTTCTACTCGAGCATATGGTAACGAGACCCTGATGGGAATTCAAGGAAAGACAGAGCAATGGTAATCTTTTCATTTGCTATTAATGCACAGAAAAGCATACAATAAGACCGTTTTCCTTCATAACAAGATGATTATCACCACCCTCAGCCATTACATACTTACCCGAAATTGGGCTGTTAGGGTGTGTTAATGACTGTGCTCAATGTCCAAGAATTGTTTTTTCGAATTTTGTGACACATCTTTAACAACCCAATTTCACATTTAGCATCTGACCTTCTTGTACCACAAATGAAAAGTTGTTCGACATAATTACCAAAAATGAATGGTCGTTTGACATAAAATTTACGGACAAAATGCTATTTATGTAGTTGTGGCCATAACATTAAGTGGCCGTTACAACTAATATTGAAGGTGATTTTTGGAAATTCCGGCTGTTATGAATGTAATGACGGCTACTGTAATGGCCTCGACTGTTGGAACAATGTAAATTATTTTCTAGGACCTTGGTATATGGTATATACCCATAAATAATACTAATAAAGAATACTTTGAATAATGAAATTTTAAAGTGCTGTGAAGCTTGGATGGGTGGCTCCTTTTCTCATATTATATCTTTAGACACTTATCTCTTAGTTGTTATTTCTTGTTGATCTGTTGCCAAGATTCACAAAGCCTATACGGAAACGGAAAAGGGTAGAGGGAATATGTTAAAGGGGCATCATAGCAATGTAAAATATATACTTGTGATCGAGCAATTTGGTGGAATCATGTTCCACTTCATTTTACTTGGCTTTGGTTTTAATGACACTTTTAGTACGAAGACATATACACCTTCAAATAAATGAGAATATATATATCTCTCTCTCTTCCCCCCCCCCTCCAACACACATACAAACACATGCATACACAAAGAGACCAAAGTCTCTCTTTCACATGCATACAAAGAGAACAAAGTCTCTCTCTTACATCCATACGCAGACCAAAATCTCTCTTTTCTTATGTGCATACACAAAGGGACCAAAATCTCTCTTCCGGTATATCTCGCTCTCACATACACACATGCACACGGGCCAAAATCTCTCTCTCCCTCTCTCTCCCTTGCACATGCACGTGCATGTGTACATGGATCACATTCTCTCTCACACATGCATGCAACGCGGACCAACCTCTGTCTCACACATGCATGGAACATGGACCAAACTCACTTTCTCACACGCACACATACACAAACACATGATCACACAAAGAGACCAAACTAAGCCAATCCATGGACTGGGAAGAGGGGAGCAGAGGTATGTTATAGATTTAAACGTGGTCCTAGAAATTCACAGGGAGAATATGTCCAAAATTTTAAATTTTGTCCAAGAAACTACTGGTGCATGGGCGTTCTCTTTCCACAATTGAGAGGATAATTTTCAATGTATTGACATATTCATGAAATAACATTTAATATTCTTCTTCCTAGGCCACTTACTTTTTTTTTTTTTGGGTCACACAAGAAATATTTTCCATTAGCCACTATTCAAGAAGTAAATATTAAACAATCTTCTTCCTTAGCCACTAACCTTTTTTACAGTCTCAAAAGTAATATTTTCCACTAAACACCAAATGGGTTCCACATTATAGGGCCTGTTTGGGACTTTTTCTAAAGCGAGTTGCACTCTACTTAATAAATTGGTATTTAAATACTTGAGATTCTCAAGCTTTAGACCTAAAAAGAAGCAAAAGCCTAAAGAACCAATCTCTACAAGTAGAGAGGATGAGCCATGTGTCAATGGCGCCCTCATGACCACCAGATTGGATTTGCAAGAGCTGTGAAAATTGGATATCTAATGAATGGCTTTGATTGGACTAGATGCTTCCCTACGAAGCAAAGTCGACGTTGGTATTGGTGTGTTTGGTTTTATAAATCTTCCAAAACCTTGGACACTATATAGATATAAGGGAGTTTATACTATTCTAACTAGGAAGCATGATGTAACATGCCCCTAGTGAGCATCCTACTCCAAACAAGTTTTTAGTTGTGGTTGGTGGAGATGGATAGGAAGGGCTGGCAAATGGGCCACGCGGCTCGGCCTTAAAAAACTAGGACATGGGCTAGGCTGGGCCACATGGGTCGGGGGCCAAGATTGGGCGAGGGCCATCACGAAGTCAGCACTGCCCAACCCTGTATTTTTCTTTTCTTTTCTTCTTAGGCGACCGGCCCATGGCCCCTTTAGCTTGTTCCGACCAGGCTAGGCTGGCCCTATAAGGAGGCAAGTCCGGGCCAAGACCGGCCTGGCCCCTCGCCGGACCTTAGTGGAGGTTTGCTCACCCCCTATTGGTAACATATAAAATTTATCTACAAAGTCCAACACCCGGTAGAGGTGTATAACCACTTGGGACATATAGTATGCCTCCTAGTAAGCATGATGTATTTTAGGTGACAATTCAGACGAAAGGTAAAACTCATAGAATGAAAAGAGCGCGACTTGGACTTCGGCTCTGAATTCCAGAATTCCGAACCTGATCCCTTTTATGCGGGGATTTTGAGTCTAAAGAGGAAATTTTTAATAAGGAAATTGAAAGATTTTGAAAAAATTTGATAAATTAGTGATTCTAGTTTTTTTTCACCTCAAAATCTTCTAGCTCTCGACAAACGATTTTGAGTCGGCTCAACAATTTTAAACCCAAAGTAAATAAACCAATTTCTACATTAAAACCATGATACTAATAATGGTGATGGCTATAAGTATATAATAGGTTTGTGGTTATAACTGCCTTCACTAATACTTACGTTCAAGGAAAGCAACCTTAGTGTGATGTTTTATTTTCCTGAAGTCATAAAGGAAACTCTATTAGCTGCTAGGGTAGCTTTCTTTGTAACTTCCAACGGGAAACAGGGAGGTGACTCGGAGCCCTTTATGCCTATCCTAGGGCCAACACGATCTCATAAATAAGAATTTATAGACATGCTTTTTATTTCCTTTTGAGCCTGTGGGAGCACATTGTATACTTACTTCCTAACTCCGCGACCTTGGAGGATATTTTCAATTTGAAAATTTGACCCCCACTTTAAAATCACTTAAGGGTATTTAAAAAGGAGTTTATAAACACTTAGATTTGATTGTTAAAATGGAGTTACAAAAGGGGTTGGTTTGTGGTGCTAGCCCCCCATACCAAGTTACCGACACCTTAAAAAAAGCTGATTCCCTAATCTATATGAAAAACTGGGTAGAGCCCGTCTTTCGCATTGAATTACCCCGAAAAAAAAAATATAGAGGGTATATCTTCAACCTTGAAACTTTATTTTCCTCTTTTCGGTCGATATGGTTACTCCAAAATCTGAAGTACTAACTCCTCGATGGGGTTTTACTCAAGGGAGTGAATTTAAGATATACTCCCGAGGGAGCACAAAATCTTTTGGCTTTACTTATACCATGTTAGATAAACAATAAGCCAGCTATTGACAATGGGATACTAGTTGTAAATGTCGGGTTGATGGGCGGCCCAAATATTCCTTTTGAGCATTTTACTTTTTAAGAAAATACAGAAAAAAAAGGCAAAATACAAGTACATTAAGAGGTGTAAAGGTTACAATACTAAGCTAATATATTCGAATCTTTGCTTTAAAAGGAAATAAAAAGGAATCTGGGAAAATTATTTGTGTCACCACGCGTGCAATCAACCAAAATGTACTATGTTGTAAACTAAGATGCAAACAAAACCATGAGTGGTTTTTTTTTAATAAAGTTGTAAACTAAGATCCAATCCAAACCAAACCATTGGTGGGTTTACTACAACCCCAAGCTATTTCTAGCATGGAGAACTCGTTTGTGATCGCCCCCTTATCCTACGAAATAGTTTATGCCCGATGGGACCCTATTAAATCTCATATATTTGGATGACTGACATGTATGCATACAGTGGGCCGGGTATCCAGCCAATCAAGGTCCGCCCGGCCCAAGAGGGAACGGCTAGCAGCCTGCATGGTTCGGCCTGGCCCTCTTTTTTTTAGTTTTTTCTTTTATTTTTTTTTATTTCATTTGGCCCGGCCTGGTAGGGATAGGGCGAGGGCCTCTTTAGCTTGGTCAGGATCAGAACGGACCTAGGCTAGCCCTATGGGGACTAAGGCCAGGGCTGGCCCGACCCATTCTCAGTCTATTGCCAACACTACCTAGTTTTTTATTTTTAAATTCTTTTACAAATACTCTTGACCTGTGTAGGATCGGACAAAAAATATACAAAAAATTATAATATATAGTTAATACTATTTATATGTATTTTATACCAATTTACCAGTTTGGATCATGTAGGTCAGGTTGAGTTGACACCAACCCGAACCCGACTCTACCCGATAGGATCCAAGCTAGACCTAGGGTGGTCAACTCGACCCACTTCCTACCCTTAATTTTAGAGGAGGTGCGCTTGGCCTAGGCACACAAAAACCATTATATCCTAAAAATCAATGACCAAGATGCTCCCACCCCTGATTGTAAACCGTCCAATGGTTCAATCTGGGCGAGCTCACATAATCTTCACCCTTTGAGTGATAGGCATACACGCACATTTGTTATTTCAATCCCAATGCCCCTCACTTGGGTAGAAACCCTCTCTTAAAGTAATTTTAGAACTCCTATTTTTGACGAAGTAACCTCCTCTAGCTAGTAGGCAACCTCAAACAAAGAAACCTTTCATACGTATGGTATATCTACTAAGAAAAAGTATCGTCCTTAAGATTGAAGGGCAACCATCTAATCAATTGTTAGTCCAACTACTTACAAACTCAAAATCCATATATATATATATATATATATATATATGGTCATTCTAAGTAGGTCTCCCCAATGTAATATGTATGTATTCCTACGTAGGTCTTTTACTCGAGTGTACTATGCTCCTGCGGAGCATCCTATACATGCCCATCCGAAAATGTCCACATGACTAGGGGTGAGAACGGGTCAGATCGGGGCCTGATTTGAGCAAATCCGGATCCAGATACCAATAGTATACATCGGATCCGTGTTCAAACTGCATCTTAGATCTGGATTTGAATAGTATACATCGGATCCTGATCCGAATATAGATTATATATATACTATTTAGAAAATTATATATAAAATATAAATTTATTATTAAAAAACCGGATTGGATCCTGCACCTACACCTGGATCCGGATTTCGAATCCAAATTTGGGGTCCATACCTGGATTTGAATAGGGTCCAAAATTTAAGTTTCACATCTGGATTGGCTCAATTCTCACCCCTGCATATCAACAAAACACACACGCTCTCTTACGTGTGTTGTGTGTGCACAACACATGAGAAAGATTGTCATGCTTACCATTTATCATGGATTTATCATTGAGACAGGTAGAGAGCATGTGATATGGGATTATATATGACGAGACCATTTACCTTTTGATATAAGGAGGTCATTATTATTTACAACTATCAGATGTGAAATTGGAAAGCTTTGGTGTATCACAAAGTTCAATAAAATTTCTTTCGAAGTTTAAGCGTGGTTAGTAGAATAAATACGGTCATCTAATTTCACATCTAATGGACCACCTTATATCAAAGGTAAATGGTTTCATTGTATACTTTCCAAGTGATATCAATAAGGGGCAAGCTTTCTATGCTTCCCCTACAACATAAAACTTATATACTTCTGCCTATCCAACTGTCCATTGTGAATGGAGCGCTAAGATTGCGTCAATCACAATGTCACATTTTTACACTAATTTATTTTTAATTTTTTTTCTATAAACTATTTTGATACAAAATTTTGGATGTCCAATCCTCTATTAAATTTGCACTAGAAAAAATATAAAAACAATATTTTCAATAAAATAAAATAACCAAAATACCCCTAAAAGATTCAAAGGATATTTTGGTTATTATATTTAATTATTTTTAATATTTTTTTCTAGGTGCATCCCAATGAGAAGATGACATGTACCAAATTTTATATTCATATAATTTATATTTAAAAAATTAAAAATAAAATACTTTAAGACGTTGGATCTAAGATCAAACGGTGAATAACTCTCTTGATCAAACTTGGATGGCTGGATGGTAGGGGAAGCATAGATCTTCTATGCTCTAAGAAAAGTATAGAAACCTTTCCCACTAGTAGGAGGATCCTTTCAAAAACTTTTCTCACGTAAAAAATAAAAGCATAAACCACAAACCTCACTCGTGTTGCACGTGCAAAACTTGGCAGTAAAAAGCAAGACACCATGCAACACAAAGTCCTGCAGATCCTCTCCACTTTACTGAGAAAATGCAGAAAAAAAGGAGAAAAAAAATAGGCAAAAACAAAGCTAATGGGTGCTCAAAGACTAAGTGGGGCCTGGCTCCATGTGAAGGAGCCACACTCAAAAGAAAGGGAAGGGGGCCACCCCTTATTCTCTTTCTATGAGTTAAAATGAAGGTCCATCAATGGCCATCTGAATTAGGGTTTCTTCTGTCAGGGTTGAGTCTGAGGGGGAGTGGTGCAGCAGCTCTGAAGCTAGTTAAACTAGTGGAAGGCTGTTTGCTTGAATAATCGCCATGGCAAGAGGGAAAGTGCAGTTGAAACGCATCGAGAATCCAGTGCATAGGCAGGTTACCTTCTGCAAGCGCCGGGCAGGCTTGCTCAAGAAGGCCAGGGAGCTGTCCACTCTGTGTGATGCTGATATTGGGGTCATCATCTTCTCCACCCATGGCAAGCTCTACGACCTCTCCACAAATGGGTAGGCAATATAATTATTAGTCATAGTAACAATGACAATTAGTAGGAGTTGTTTCTAAACAAGGATCCGGATCAGGACTCACTAGGGTCCCGAGCTGGAGTCAGGTCTGACAAACACAGCCAGGTTTGTCAGATACTCGACTGAGTCTTAGGAAATAATATCAAAATATTGGGAACCAGCCAGACTTGGCCGGTTCACATGGGCGAATTTGAGTGACTTGGGCGAGCCCTACTTCGATAACCGGCCAGGATTGGCTGGTTCCCATGGGTTTCATCCTAGACTCAGCAGCAGCTCGTCGAGTTTGAGTAACTCGGGCAACTTGCAGTCGGACTCGGTAAGGTTTGATTCACTAAGTACTAGTGATATCAAAGAATAATCAGAAATATAACAACAATGATGATGTTAATGATTTACGTTTGTTTCGCCTATTATCATTATTATTATTATGGTGATAGATCTGCCCCATTAATATTGTTAGTATTATGTTTATGTGCAATAGATTCTCAATGAAATTTGTAAACTCTTTAGTAAGTAATCGTTTTGTTTGATTGTTGTTTTACTGTTTTTGCATCTTCTGAATCTATTACATGCTCCTTTCCAAAATGATACATAAATAATACTCACAAAGTAAATAAGTAACATAACACAAAAAAAATGACAAAAAGTAGTACATTACATATAAACGAACAAGGCACATGGTGCGTGTGCAACGCACACAACACACTATCTTGTGCGTTTCTAAGCACTATTGCAAGTACAAACATTTTAGTTTGTTTTTCTTTCTTCTTGGATACTTCAAAAATATTCTGAGTAATTTTATTTTGGTTGGCAATTCTATGCTATTTTTTTTTTTTCTTTTGCAAATTTGATGTACAGAATTTGTGACTGATGGATCTGATGATCCATCTCTATGATCTTTACCATCTATCTTTTTTGGTTTTATCATTCAAAAAAAAAAAAACAGATGGATCCTAAAGATATTTCTCATCATAGTTATTGCACTTCATATAAATGAATACTTTTGTTGATCGCTGTTAACTGAAAATCCTTTTTTTTTCATTCATAGCTTCGAAAAAAACTGAAAAAATGTAGCTAGAGGAGAAAGAACAAGGAGCCAAAAAGAAATTAACTTTACTCTAGGCAAGGGTAGTCTCTAATAAGTGAGTAGATAATCATGTGTTATTTCAAAGAAATAATTATGTATTATTTCATAAGAAACTCGTCATGCAATCACAAAATCATGTCCTTCAGAGATGTTACCTTCTTTGATTGTTAATTATCTAGGGTTCTGATATTCTCTATTATTTTCTTCATTTCTTATTTTTTCCTAATATTTTCTTCAATTATTGAAGAACCATGCAGGAGTTGATTGAGAGGTACATGAAATCATCACATGGAGCTCAAACTGAACAACCTGAAAATGTAAATCATCCTCCGGTATGTAATTTTTAAGCTCTCAATTTTGTATGCATGCATGTATCTAAATTGAAAAACTAGCAATTAAAGAGAAATAAATTTGTGATAGAAAAACAACTCTCATTATTATGTCATAGACTCATTGGTGGGTTTGTTGTCTTTAGCAAAATAATCCTTTACTCTCAAGAAAGTGAAGTTCTATTAATAGGACCATTATTTTCATGTGATATGAGGAGAGATTAAGACACTTTGAATCAAAAAATTTTGATTACTACAAACCCTAGAATAATATTTTCAATAATAGAGAATTTGAAGTTGGTTTCTTCCCCAAAAGAAAGAAAAACAGATTAAACTTTTCTTTGTGTTTAGATGATGTCACATATGCCTAAAGCCTATGGGAAATTTTCTAAAAGTCTAATCAGTGAAAATTTCAAATTTTATTCTAGTTTATGCTAAACATAATCCAAACAAAATAGAAACTTCAATTTGAGGAATCTAGATTAATTTCAGCACTCTTTCTAAGACTTGATTACCAAATAAAACTTTAGGAAGTTAGATCTCCACTGGGTTTCTTCATTGCCATCTTTGTCAAACATAAACTGGTAGTGATTTAACATGTAACATGCTTCTTCATTTATGGAGATCCGTTCAGATTATGCACTAGCACACAAACTACAATGCCTCTCTTCAATCAAGTTATAGACAACAGCTCATAGTATGCTCTTAGTGGTATTTATATCCAAAAAAATTTATTTTTTATTTCTAATTTTATTATGGTAAGTTTGATTGCCAATAATAACTCTAGATAAAATCAATTGATGACAATATTTTAATATACGCTCCTTATGATTACATTTAGTGGTCTAAAAGCAATCATAAAAATTAAAATTTGACAATAGGCTCTAGGCAGAAGTGGTCAAGGTAGTGGTTGCCACATGGTGACTACTAGAGTTCCATTCTCACCAGGTCTCAAGTGAACACTTAAAATTTGAATTTGAAAAGAAACATGTCATTTTCCTAAACCCCTAAAATATGAATAAGGAAAATGAGGTGCGGTTCAAGAAATTTTAAAAATGTATAGTGAACTTTTTGTAATTTATTTTTGTTGTACATTAGAAATGCTTGTCAACTTTATCACTTATAAAATTCTAATGTGTGTATAACTTAAATTCATGTCCATGATATATTATATACTACTTTTAAAAAATTCGCAATAAACATCTGATAAATTCCCATTACAAATGACATTCACAATAATATCTCTATAAATATACTCCTTTTTTTAAAATCCCAATAAAAATCCGATAAATTCCCCTTACAAATGGTATTCACAATAATATCTGTACAAAACTCCCCACCAATAATATCCTCACAACAATGGGAAATGATCTAATGCAGCAGTTGTATCATAGTATAATG